ATAGTTAATTATTAATTGGTGCAAATTAACAGAATTCAGTTCTTAATGTTAAACGTATTCTTCTGTAACGTAAATCAAATTTTCACATATTTCTGGTATAAGCATCGGTATACAAGAAAGATTGTTTCCGTTTCTTAATAGTAAAGCTTGGTGCGACTTTATTTAGTTTTCATTTGCCGATCATTATGTTGTAGTAGAAGACGCAGGTTTGAATCGTAATAATAAAGATACATATTCTGAAGTGAGAGTTTTGAATTTTAAATTAATGTTTTTTCGATATTAAGTCTATATAAAGTGGAAAAAGAAATATTTTAAATCAAAAAATTACAGCTTGTTTAGAACAAAAAAGATTACCTCACTCCGAATTTTTTGGAAGAAAAATTACAAACTAAATTTTATTATTTATTTAAATTTTTCAACTAAATTTTGAGGTTATGTGAAAAATGTGTTTAAACAAAAGTTGTAAATGTGTTGTTATAAACTCGTCCAATATTGCTCAGGCGGTAACAGGCTGAACCAAAAAGGAGAAGAATCACTGGAAAACTATTACTTTCTCAAAAGCTCGATAGTAAATAGGGAGAGACACATCTCCTACTACTAGGTTTCTTTTTACTCAAGATTTACAGAAAGTACTTTGCGGCTCATATAAAATCACTAAAAACAAATATACGTCCAATATAGGCATCATATAGAAAATCTAGCTTTTAAAATAATTAACTATTATATTTTAACTGCTAAGTAGGACTGCTGCCCCTGTACTATACAAAAATGTTGATATAACCTCAAATAAAAGTCCGCTTTGAAGAATTGCTAAATGCAAATTGAAGTGAACGCCTTGACCTTAATAAAACCAATAATCCCAATACCAGTGCACTACGAAATGTATCATTAAATCTTTGAGGCCTGTTGTGTTTGCCAAAGGTGAAGACTATCACTAAAAAAACGCAAAATAGACGGCGAAGAGCAAAACAGACAAAATACGAGTGAATACAATAAATAAAATAGCATCATCGCAATGTTGGAAAACTATTACAACAAATGTTTGTTGTCGAAAGAAATGGATGAGATCGCCAATGATCGATGATTTGCTTCGCAAACGATTGTGTACAACTCAGAAACACTTGTAATACTCATAATTACGCACATGAAGCCGCTTTAATGTACCGCTTCAGCGAATTCCGCGGAGAAGATTTTGCAAACAAGACAAACTGACAACTTTAACTTCAACTGCAAATAATCCATTTAAGCAATAATGTAATTCAATTAACATAATGCAAAATGAAACAATAGTATTGTGTCACAACAACAACACGTTTGCCTCCGCTTCCTCCGTTTCTTCTTCGAAATATTTAATCATAATACAAAACGATAATTTTGCACATTTCCTATTTCGTAGCAATGGAAGACAAAAGATTTGGTCTCCTAATCCGTTAAGCACGAAATCGAACACGGCTTAACAGTAGCAATTAGCACAACAAAGAACAAAGTAAAGTAATCTCTAGCTGGAAAGAAGCAGAGAAACAAAACTCAAAAGTCGTGAATTTAAAAACTGACCAATTAAAGGCATTAACTAATCGCTAAAAGAAAAAAACCGCTTGTACTTGTACACATTGTATGTGTATGGGTATGAGTGCTAAGCGCGTCACTCCGCTGTACCTCCAGCTGTGTCTGGCTTCGGCTTCACCTTTTGCACCGAGATTTTTAAAATGCTTTTAATAGCTTAGCGATTGCCAATTGAATCCGCAATGATGGACGCATTCATAAACACACAACCACACACGCATATAACCTATTCGGCTCATATCGGCTACTCCAAAGCGTAGTGAAGTCGCTCAATAGCTAAGCTTTTGGCTTTATTGTTTGGCTTCGAAGCTAATTCATTTTTCTGTATTGCTTTGTCTGCGTTCATTTCCTTTGTTTTTTTATTTTTTTTTATTTACAATTATGCGGTATACACACAGACGTATGTAAGTACCGTTTGTTGATAGCTGTGTTTATGGCCGAAGGCGCTTTTTGGTTGTTGCTTTTGACGTTAAGTCGGATCATGTCAGCCGGATCAGCGGGCGTCAGCGATTCTAGCACTTTTGACATTTCCATAATTATGCTCGCTTCTGAGCATTTGGCGCACTGGCGCCATTTAAACGCTACACCTAGCAAAAGCTAATATTTACACAAGCTCATGCTACTTTGAAATTCATAGAAATTAATTGAACCACCTCGGGTCATAGTGGCGAATACCATTTACTAAATAATTGCAATCCGTTCGAAACTAATTTAGACCGCTCAAAATTCAATAGATTTCATTATATTCAATATGATTTGCTCAAGAATCTCAGTGACCGCAAAGTAAATCAATTAGAAATCCGTTTTAGCATATCGAAGATATTTTAGCTAATTTTTTTTTAAATAGCTATCGTTATTAGGGGAGGGAGCTCAACCCTAAATGTGGTGGATAAATGCTAAATATGAGAAGACAACGTTACTGTAACGGTAGCTGCTATGATTTTTCGTGCAATAAATGGAGGATTATGGTATCAATCATGGACCGACTCGACGGTTACATTTCATTCTTTTTCTTTTACGAGGTAAAATATTGTTCGCTACAATGCTAAGCGTGAGTGATTAGCGAACAGAACAAGCTATACCACTTTTATATATAATTTTTTCGTAATTTGTCATTTGAGTCATACAGTCAAGATCAATCAACATTTTACGCTGAAAAGTCCTGCTGCGTACGTAAACCGCTATCGATTAAAAATATATTCTATCTTCTTTAAGTCCGTGTGCACTTTGTTTTCCATAAATCTATTAGTGTTCGGCAGCTCTTTTTTACGACACCAAGAGTTTGTCGATTCGGTTTTTGTGCGCAGTTTAGATGGATCTATCCAAGTCAAATTTGATCTTCAGTGCATGTAAAAACTATTTTTGTTTTGTTTTACACTACTTGGTATGCATACTCTCTGGTATTGAATTCAACTTGTTAACTTTGTTGAAACTTTCAACTGGGGAATCGAAGGCGGCTATGTGCAACAATAACGTCAGAATTTGATCCTATTTAGTTATAGGTTCTGTGCATATTTTCTCAACTATTAGATGTAATTTGCGCTTCACTTATCTTTGTATACAATATCGTAACAGATTAAGTACTCCGAGTTATTTATTCAATGTATATACGTTTTCGATACAAATATCTGAGGCAGCATATTCATAAAATATTCATATTTATAAAAAAAAATTATCAATTTAATGTCGAAAAAGGGTCTAAAATCCGATTCCAAAGAGTGAATAGTTCAAAGGCTGACAAAGAAAAGAGGAACTATAATAATATAACACATATGGAGTAGACAGATTTTTAATCTACATTGACTCTATATTTAATAATAACAAATCAATAGATTTTATAGTGCTCAAAAGACTATGATTTCTATGAAGAAATTAGTAATTTTAGAAATGTTGGTGGATAATTTTACAGAGTGTTCACTGAGCTTGTTTAAAATAAAGAATCTCTTCGCCAGAACTTTATTTAACACGAAAAGCAAGTTATTATTTCAATTTGCCCATTTGAAAGTACGTTCATAAGTTAGCTGATGTATTTTCCGTGTTTTAGATATTTGCCTTAATATTTTAAGATTCGCAATCACTATCCATTAAATAAATTTATAAAATATTACTTCTTTATGGTTTATATACTAAGTACTTAGGGTTCTCTGGGATTTACAAGCAAACATTATAAAGTTTTTTACCAACTTACAAAGTTATATGTAGAATAATTCTCAATATACATATGTACATATGTGCAAGGGTATTCATACAAGTATACAAGTATAATGCATATATTTATAAATATACATATAAATACATTACAAACTTAATGAACTACCAACCATGAAAACCAGTTAGCGCAAAGAGCAAAGGCAACAGATGCTAGTTCGACAAGAGCTTAACTTAAAGCTAAAAACCAACAGTTCAAGTGAAGGCGCTGTGGCATATCGATACTACACATATGTAAGTATGTATGTAAGCACTCGTATGTGTTGATTATTATGCTTAAGTTAAAATCAAGAGAATAGAAAATGAAAACAAACTCTGCGTAATTTTCGAGCAATCAAACATATTTTGTAATTTGTTTCCCTTTCAAAGGTAATATATAAGTATACATATGTATATGTATATATGGTATGTTACAACAATATATATTATTACACTTAATATTACCAAAAAATACATACGTGCGCTTCAGTGAGTCCATTAATGCCTTTAACGCCCTTTCTTATTAATTGTTTGCATATGCGTTTGTAAATATATTTAAGAGCTCACCAAAAAATAGTTATTTCAATTCTTCCAACATAATTTAAAACTGAGAAATAAATATAGGTAAACAGCTGGGTATACTAAGGAAAGGCGCATCAGTGAAAGTTTTCACACCGTAACTACACATAAACATACATACATCATATACTATACTATATAGTATATACGCTCTCAACTATTATGGTAATTTGTTAGGCCAGCTGTTGGAATTATGAGTTTCTACCTGACTGCTGATTCACACACAAAAAACCACACATTTCTACAAGCATTTGAAGAAAGTGCGACCGTCAACAAACCTTCGGATATCAAAATTTAAACTGCAATGAGAATTGTTATCTATGTATGTGTGTTTGAAGACAAAAGCCAACAAATTTAGGTGGAATGACAATAAATAAAATTTCGCCTTTGTTTGCCTAACAAAGTTAGTGTTGACAGTGTTAGTAGACGGTGTTCGGCCAGCCCTTGATTAAAAAAATAAAAACAAAGTAAACGTGCGTCGAGACCCTTTTGAAGAAGGTGATTCCGAAGACTGGCCCAGTAGTCGGCAGTTAAATTATGAATTTCGGATCCCTTTTTCTTTAATCCTGGAATAAATTGTGCAAAGTTAAAGTTTTATGGTTCTAGACAATCCCAACTCCTTAAATTAGCTGTGATTATTAGAAAATGACAAAAAAAAACGATTTTGACCATACATTTTTTTTTACTGTTTATTAAATTTTCTAAAACTAAATACATTGCATGCAAAACGGACTAGTTCCCCACACTAAAAGGAACCACTTTTTAACTGTTTACCCTGATTGCCGCTCGCTCTGCGCTTCCTTCTCACTTTTGTGAAGATTGCTTTTTGGACTCTGCTTTGCTGCAGTTTTCATGCTAATGATTTGCTTGCGCAACTGCTCCTTGAATTGCAGCTCTCGAGTGATGGCCTTCAAATCTGTGTTGCTGCATTTTTGAATGTTTTGTATATTTTCTGTGATGAGGCGCGTTGTCAGCACCACTTTCGATTTGTTTAGACGCAATGGCTGCTGAGTTGGTCGCCGTAGCTCCTCTAAATGCATAAAGAGGTCGTAGGTGAGCGTGGTACTGGAAGTGGATTGACGTTTGGTGGCCATTGCTAAGGTTTGTTCTTGTTTACTGTCGAAAGTAATGATGTTAGCTCTTGCTTGTAATTTTCGGGTTTATTCGTTGTTCTAAGTCCTTTTGCTTTAAGAAAAGAATTGATAATGAGATGTTAAGGTGTATGTGCCCACAATTTATACCATCTTCGTTCCGCCAAAAGATATCTTACTTTTTAAATATACCTGCTATTGAATAATTAACGGTGATTTGCGATGACGGTGTAGTGGTACACAACCAATAACTTACATCTACGTTTAAGATATATGTATATATAATATTTTTCATAGTACGTAAAAATTTGTTTGTTAAAAGTGTCCCCAGATACCGAATGTGGTTAGCTCAATGCCCAGGGATGACTGAAATTAGTTAACTATCTTTTCTTCAAAATAGTCTACTTTCGTCCTAAAACACGAATAAACATCCTCCATCCTTACATCTCATCTTAACAAATTTAAGTCCAAACAAGTTTCATACTCTTACAACTTGCGTTTACTTTACGACAGAAAAAAGATGCTCTCTAAGTTTCATTAAGGTACCTCACTTACCATCATCAATATATAAGGAGTAGAGTCAGCTGGAAGTTTAAAAATCCTAAGTATCAGTTATATAAGGGTTAGGGCAAGTTTTCACTCGATTTATTTCATTATTTTATTAAAATAAGTCACACATTGGCCGATATTTTCGGAATTAAATCAGCCGCTCCTTTCTACTGCGGTCCCCTTTCCCAAAGTGCTTAGTTATAGTATTTTATAGGTTTTCGATTACTTTTTTTAGCTAACAGTGGCCCGATTACGACCATCTTCTCACGTTTATCTCAAGGAACACGTGTACCAAGTTTCGTTAATTTTTACTTAAGTTATCGAATGCACAGATGAACAGACGGCCGGATGGATGAACAGACAGACAGTCACACTTGTATATATTATATATAACTCATAACATATCTATCTCGATTATTTTTAGGTGATACACACAACCGTTAGGTGAACAAAACTATTATACTCTGCAGTAACATGTTGTCCAAATATTTTCTCGCCTTTGAATCTTACAATTCCCTTACTTGTTTGTTTTTACCTACATATATAGAGGCTCGCTGCTCTCTGTATAACGGGAGCACTAAGAACCACTCCAACGGCTGCAATAGAAAGGTTACTCAACCTGCCTGCTAATGGCATTGCAGTGGAAAGCTAGGCAGTGGAATCAGCTGCAAAATGGGCGGCGTTAGATAAATTTTCCACAAGAATCTTCGGGCACAGCTCGACGTACCGGGAAAGGAAACATCTAATAAGATTGCCAAAAGTACCATTCGTTTCGCTACGAAACCAGTGCAGGAAATACCAAGTCGCTAAAAACGATACGCAATAAAATTTTCGGAAAGCTGACAGACGGATCAGCTTTAGATGGAATGCCTTAAGGGTATGCAGGATTGCTCAGATCATGTGCAACAACCTCGAAAAACTTCAGAACAGTTCTTGCCCTAGTCACAGGTCACAGTTTACTGGCATCAGCCCTATGGGCATTATTAACGATGACACATGTCGAAAGTGCAGGGAAGCACACATCAGAGAGACGCTGGACGCTTCTGTCCAGCCTTATCTAGAAATGAGCTCAAATATCTAAGAGCTACGGAGTAGGGGACTGCATGAAGTATCAGAATTAGATATCAAGTCTCTATTTATTTCGCAAAAAGCGTTTACATTCTTCAGGAAGTTAAAATGAACCTCCAACTGGCATTCAAAGCACATGTAGGTCTATGTGTGGCCTGACAGCCAGCCAGTATAACGTAACCTTACGTATTATTTATTTTCAGTAGCGATGTTCATCAAGAAATAGTGCAGTTGGTCGTTCATTGTAAAAAAATATGATACTATTTTTTGACATTTACAAAGACCTGGTTTTTAACTCACATTTTCTTTTTGTTTTTTGCCCATTTTCTTCATCTTCGTTCTACCATGCACTAGTGCCTTTCCTTCGTCGTAGACTCCAACAATTTTTTTTTGTAATTTTCCCTTTCAAAATCATTCATTTGCGTTATTCTACCGGAAAGGAGATTGAAGTACAGTTAGCACCAAGATCAATTAATTTCGTATGCTAAATGAACCAATATATTTACATACTTGTATGTATTTACAAGCCATGTAACAAGCACACACATATGTTTTGCCTTCACCTTTTCACAGTTTTGTGTTCAATGTGGGGATATCCCAATTATTGCCGTTTAGTCTAAAACCATTCCGTGTAATGAAAATATTTTACAGGCCTTTATATGTCATTGCATTCTTCGGGCATTTCAATTGTTTCGGAAGTGTTTCAAGGCCTTTGCATTGTTGCCGACAGGTCTAAGCAAAATATTTGCAAATGAAATTCTTATACCCCACACATACAAATGTTTGTTTTGCGGATTACGAATAGCCAGAATCCTGCTGAATGGCAGTGGCCACAAACCAAAACAATGGAAAAATATTGACATGACTTCCGCTCACCTTTTAATCCACCTAAATTCCTGTTTAGACACGACTGTCAGGAGCACATTGTTCGTGTGGCGACACGGCGCTGATGGTAATTGCCATTTTCACGGAAACGCGAGACGGTCATGCTAGTAATACGTGCCTCAATTTCTACGACACCTTTGCATAAATGCCTATGCGTGAAGCCTTTTGTTAGCTAAAGTAATTTTCGGCTGCTGCGCCGATGCTGCGCTCTAGAAACGCCCAACATAAAAGTATTTTAGGCTCAAGAGGTCTTTTCGCGCAAGGATACGCGCAACCGCAACAGAGCGCAGCGCGCGGCTGAATTGGAGAGCGCAGAAAACACAGGTGTGGAAAAATTCAACAAAAGAGGGCTACTGCCAGGCTTGATACACACAAACACGGGTACAGTCGACAAGCTACCGGCGGCCAAGGTGCGAGTATAAAAGCGCACAGCATGCGAGCAAGGACTCATCATTCGTTTGTTAGCCGCTAACGTGTGCCTTCGGTCAATGACTGTATCAGCCAGTCGACATATAAACAAATATTTGTAAATAAAATTATTAAGTATTCATCTGAAAAAGAATATTTGTCCGAAACGAGTGAGCCACTACTTAAACTTAACCACTTAACCTAAGCAAACACCGACTTCACCAAACCAAATAAAATGGGTTCCTTAATGCGCAAGAACATCACCAGCAACAACAGCAGCAGCAATGCCAAAAACAGTAAAAATAAATCATCAGTGCACTATCAACTCTTTATGTATCAGGAGGAGCTGCGCCGCCGCAATACACGTGGAATAAGCGTCGCCAGATCAAAGATATCTCTCACTGAATCCCTAATCCAAGACAACGTGCAGAATTTGCACAACCGCAGCGATGAAGATCTTCGTATCATAAGCCGAGAAATGTCATTCAAGAAGCATCTGCAGAAGCAAGTGTCACGTTATTCAAAGCTGATTAAATTGGCAATGAGCGTAGAGAGGAAGACCGTTAAAAATTCTACGACTATTAGCACAGCGGTGCATTTACGAGTTAATTAGTCGTCGTCTAATATTTAAGAATATCTGTTAGCTAAGTACCGCTGTGATTATTAATTGTATTTTATTTAATTTTAGATTACATATTTATTACTTTATTATTTGTAGGTTAGAATATGAGTTAATAGTGTTAAAGTCTTTAATATAAGCTGGTGGAATATAACTTGCAACAAGTTCAAATACAATAGTATCTTTAAAGTTAGTTTTTAATAGTACTTGTAGAAGTTAGTTTTCTTCGTAAAATTATGTTTACAACGTTCTAATTGACTCGTCTACCGATAATTGACGTAATCTAAGCTGGCAGGCTATCGCAGTAAAAATAACGTTCGTTACTTTCTGTCAATCCTTAAAGGTAAAAACTCCGAATGAACACCATATCCGTTTTGTATGGAATAACCTAGGATCATATTCATCTCAACTGACGGTCCTTGTTCCAAGAAAATGTCACATCTGCTAATTTGAAAGCATGTGAGTAACATTGTATTGCCTAACTAAAAGTAGATTACAATGAGTGGAGAGTATTTTTGTATTTGAAAAACATAGTATAGTACGAACCGAAATTATTGAAACTTGTTCTTTGCCCGATAAACTAAGACAATTGAGTAATTTGAGAGTTACCAACAAAGTAATTGTAAGGAAAATAGGAAATTCTTGACTTTAAAACCTGAATTCAACTTATATTGGGAAAATCAATTTTTTTTTTAATTAATCCGCACTATGCTCGGGGAATAAGACAAAGCAGCTATCGATTTTAGTAATTATCCTTGGGGTTTAGTTCTATTGAGTATAATACAGCAGGCTCAAAGCTGGGCATTCGCAATGTTCCAGCACCACATCATCCTTCTCGCTTGACTGTCCACTCGAAGGTTTATTGACTTGCTAGTTGGAGTACCTTCTGTTATACCAACAATTTCGACCTGAAAGACTGAATTGTGGCTAACTTCTGCGTATTACAGAAGAAGCGCGCTCCTGTTGCTATTACACCCTTTGATCCGTCGGTGAATTTGTAGTTTTCGGCGTTAAAACTATCTTCCACAGGTCCATTCTTCTCTAATGGGGAATAAAAACGTTGTATTTAATTCTTCATTCATCTCTGTTTCTCGGGCGCATTGCCACTTTACCCAGAGTTCATTAACCAAGACGAGTAAAATAATATGCCCGTAGTGACACCGAGTCTCATGTATTGACCGGATATTGACGACAATCCGTATATTATAATTGTATGTTAAATTACTTACAGCTAGTAGTCTGTAAGTGCTAAATACTGTGTTTAATAGGGGACTCCGAACAGAATTGCCCTCTGATTTTAAAAATGCGTTTTCGAAAAAAAAAATACGTTTCAGTTTCAGTTGCTGAACTCGAACGCTTCGATTGGAACATTATAGCAGTATTGAATAGTGATTTTTTTATTATGCTCTTTTTTAGAAAACTTCAGACTGGCCTAACTTATATAAAAAAAACTGAATTGGCCGCAAATAATATCATGCTCGAGCGGAAAGTTAATCAGCTTAAATCAAAATAAATATATATTCTAACCTCCAGTGTAGACACAATTAAGATTGACATAAGCTTAGAAAACTGGCGTTAAGGATATATTTTTTCGGAACTCACAAATTTATGGCATGAAATCTCTGGCAAAGAATGAAGTGACACATTTGTAATAAACATTTTCGGAAAAATTTACTAAATTGAGAAAATAAATGAGTTAGTCCATCCAACGTGTTGGTCACGACATTTAGACTTAGTTTGAGTAGAATATAACATGAATCAAGTTCTTTGTTTTACTTTTGGTAATGGTCATACTTCAAGTTAGAAAGTTTCATATTGATAATTTTTAATTGAAAAATTATAATGTAATGAGAGTTTCTAACACCGTTCCTCTAATATTTATAATATCTTTATTACACTTCATATCTAACAACAATTTAGTTTTCTTCATACTACGATACTAATTAAAGTATTTACTGGTCTTCTTTAGTTATTACTTTTAACGCCTGAGCCAAGCGGCACCATCTAAACGATCACTACAATCGGTAACTTTTGCACGAGTATAGCTTCCACTCCGCCCAAAGCGGTTCATTTAATTACACTTAGGTACTGTAACATTTACTCATTATGGCAATGTCTCGAGCTATCTATAGACGAGTGGACGAGTATTCGCAAATAAAACAAAAATAAATAAAAATTTATTTGCAGATAATGACATACATAAAATGTAGGAGTGGAAATTCCTGTTCTTATCGCAATGCCGCCACATTTAACAAGCCAAGCTGGCGAAGAAAAGACATCCGTCAGTCGTTCGAATGATTTGAGTTGGTCACAAATGCCTGCGAGAGATTGTAAATAAGCCAAATAACCGGTAAAATGGTGAAGTGTTTTAGGTGACTAGCACTGATCAAGTCATATGAAAATGTACATATGTGTTTAAGAATGTAAATGGCACATTGTATTGCAGTCAAGTGTGTCGATGAAGATTAGCAGAAAGCTGTACTTGTGGAGTTTTTAAATGTTTAAATTCAATTTTTTCGCGGTAATTATGCAAATATTTTGTTAATACATTGGTTTTCAATGGATATGTTATGTTAATTTTATCTCTGCATTCACTAATCCACTGTGCGTTCCCAAATGTGCATATAGATTTTTCAAATATAAATAGTTACGGTAAACAGAGAGTTGGAATACAATGATATTTGGACCGAATTTGTTTGATTTGGATAAACTTTTTGATAGTCTGGCTTTAGATTCTTATCTAACTATTCTTAGAAGACTAAAAACCAAAGAACTGAACACTTGGTTTCTTACAGAGTTTTTTCCGAAAACTGCAAACAAGATCACAGAAGCTTTATGAGGATCACAGGAAGATCTAAAACCTTTTCTAATGACAATATCAAGCTCCATCCATCAGTTCCCAGATTGAAAGCAGTTTCTTCTGAGGTCAAATAGTAAGGAAATATATCGATATTGTCTATCCATAGATTATATAGGTTAGGTTAAAAGGTTGCATTTAACAGGGAGAACACACGTCGCAGCAATACATCTGCCGGCAATGTCTTCATTGACTAAAAGATCTCACCTTTAAAACAAACTACTTACACAGACCGTTCTTCTGTATTTCATAAATAAGCGTTGGCTGTTTTCCAGAGCAACTTTAACACAGAAAACCTGCATTAAAAGCGCACTCAAAGAGCCGGCTAATAAGTTCTCTCCAAACTTGGCTGCCTTTAAAACTCCCTAAACGCCTTAAAACGCGTAATATGCATGGGAAATATAAACCTGAGATTATAAGCTCTGTTTCAACCATAACAAAACAATCGTAGAGTGTAAATGCCCACTAGGCAATGCAAGGATGTCTGCTAGGTTTAAAATATGGAACGACAAGCTATGTTATACACACCATAAAAGTAGAAATCTAGTAATACTATCCGGTTGGAAATACTGAACCAATGCAAAACTAGGAGAAGCTGTAGAATTGCATCATTCTGTTGCAAGCAACGACGAGATGCAAACCAAAAACCTAAATTGAAGCCACCACAGTGGCAATGGAGGACGCAACAGTAACAACAACATCAGCATCAGCAAAATTGCATTTCAACGCAGAGCAGCGACTGCAATAGACGCTAAGGGTAAATACCGATTTCGGTTGATTGGAGCAGCCAGCCAAGCTGCCAAAGCGCACGATGGCGATGAGAAGGCAGCGAGTGAGTGCTCAAGCGTCCCATTCCCACGAAACGTGATTTGTGTTCGTTCGTGTTGATAGTTGTCGTTGGGCGCATAGCTTTTATTGTTGTTGGTATCGTATCATATTAATATGGTTTTTCACTAGCTGTTGGTGCTGCTTCAGAAAAAAATGTACGTACATTGTTGTTGTTGCTGTTATTTGTTTCTTATTACCATTTTTTTAGTGTTGGCTGCCTTTGTCCTTCTCTTTTCTATCTTCTATGTTACATTGGTATTTTGTGAAAAAAAAATCGCTTGGCATTTAGCTCGTACCATCACCTTCACAAACGCCATCGTCGTTGCTGGGGCTTGGGCGTCGCAGTCAAGCGGTCGTTTATTTGCGACTATTTGTGAGCGTCTGATATTAAGTATTTCCGAGCAACGCCGCGTTACAGGCTTGCCGCCGCCAGAATGCAACTTAAAGTTCAATTTTGCACAAGTGTGCATTTACGTACGACAAGCTACTTGGGTCCATTAGTTTTGGCTTTAGATTCCTTTTAAAGTTGCAGCTTCTACAAAATCTTGCTTTGCGAAAGAGGCGCGGCTTCAGTTGTCTGCGAGCAAATTCAGATGTTAGAGCGAAATGTTTTGACAAAATACCAGTTTTCTTGAATATTCTAATATGTTGAAGAGTTACCGTTATGATTAATATATAGTACTAATATATGTTAAATTGTATGGAAAACTTCTCAAAAGTATATATTCAAGTATTCATTCGGCAAAGTGTGTTCGACATTCTGTTTGCATCAAAAGTTGTAGAAACTTCTAACATAACCTGAAAATGGTGTCTTCATATGAACCAAGCAGAAAAAAGCATTGGAAAAATAGTAGAGAATGGAGTCGCTACCTCATCTTGGAAGGAAAGAAAAACCGAATAAATCCGAATCCGTTGGACGAGGAGATTTTAAGACAACCCGCAAAATTTCTAATGAATGACTTCAAGTTGGTGTGTGTTCCAAAAAGAACCGAACTTTTTGGATATAGAATACATAATGCCAAATAAATTTGAAAGTTATTGCTTATTCAATTTAGGTTGCATTAGGCTCAATACAACGTTTGGAGCGATTAACAAGCGCACCTCGGTTACGGCAGCTTGAGTAGCTGGGATATCATAATAAAATACTCCTTTTATGTTGATTTTCAGTTTTGAAAATAGAAAATAGTCACATGGTCATAGATCATGCGAATACTGAGGGCGATTGATGAGGGAAATCCGTTTTTTCATCAAAAACTGATTCTTTATTTAATCCATGTAGAATTCAACGCGCACAGGCCGTTCTTATTGTATTTAATCTTTCCGCCAAAATTCTCGCAGTGAAATTTGAATCGATACCGATTTTTTCACTAACTTTTTCCATCAGCATACGGGAAGAAATGTAGCGTTGCTTGAGGCCGAGAAAAAAGCAAAGCAGCATTTTGAAATTTGTTTAAATAAGAATTAAGTATTTACATAAATGGTTATCTTATTTTTAAATGAAATGGAAAATTATCTTTTTTTTTAATTAACAAGCCATTAGTCGAATATAAGTGGCTATACTTTGAGATATAAATTGTTTGTATCTTAAGAATTCAGATAAAAAACTTTCAAATTAAAGAAGATGCAAGCAGTTTCGAAACTAAATTACAAATATTTGTTCAACTGGTTTTGCTTGATATTGAAAAATACCCTTTGAGTTTTACAATACATAATATAATATTGGTAAAAGACTAAACTGAAAATGTCTATGAGTTCTTGGGGATTATGGGAACGTCGAAAGATTCGCTCTACGTTATTTTGACCTTTATCCGGTATTTTGACTTCCTGCAGTGCCTTGATTATATATTATTTTCGTATTGCAATATTTTCACATTTGAGATATGTTGAGTAATTCCGAAAGTAGTATGAACATACACAGAAATTTAAGATTTTTATACACTGAGCAGAATATATAAAGTTTATTACAATGTTTGGCAAGCTGAGTCGATTTATCCGATATCGGACCACTATAGCATATAGCTGACATACAAACTCAACGATCAAATACATGTCCTTGTATGGAAAACTTTTTCATTTGACAAGGTATCTCCACAAAATTTGGAATGGCTTATTATAATTCTATTAATTATATATTAAGTAAATGTACAATCTCCGAAGAAATTGTTCAGATTGGACTACTATAGCATATAGCTGCCATACAAACATATCAACCAATATCAAGATAAAGACCTTTTTATGCTTTGAAAAAGGGTATTATAGCTGCGGTACAGCCGAAGTTGACGTTCTTACTTGTTTATATCAGAAGTTGGTCCCATTTACTATCGCAATTTTGAGTTTACTCCTGCTATTTCGTATTGTCTTATTTTTTTGCATTCCACTTACCTTATTTCAAGTTAATCCAATCTCCTGCTGGATTACTCAATTCTACTACTGATATTTTATACAAATAATGTTACAAAGGGTAAAAACTAGTTTCACAATATCCACAAACATTATGTTTTCTTTATTTCCAGCACTTCTCTATTAACTTCACTATGTTATAAATTTTTTCGTAAAAACTATCATATATTGTGTAAGAATTGTGCATTATAAAGATGAGCTCACACTTATCCATGCATTTTTATTGATTCCGTTCAAAATACAATCAACACTTTTGCACAACTATTCGAACTTTTTTCGCAATTGGCTTTTTTCTCGTACAATTTTTTTGCAACACTTCCACTTTTGCTGCCGATAGACGTTTTAATGACATTACTTTTTCAAAACTCCATTGCATAATTTATTTATGCATGCAAAACATTAACCCGCATACACTACACACCGAGTTGAATTAGAATTGCAAATAGATTTTGATGCTTTTGCCTCACTGATTGGCATTTATGCATGCCCTTCTTTCGCTTCTTTCGCGGTCCGTTCACGCGCTAGCACAGCCGTGTGATCTCGCTAAAGAACCACTCGCGCAGCTGCGCGTCAATGTAGTATGCGCCTGCGCCGAGCACAATTGCCAGGCAAGCAAAATCTAGCGGACGTTGGTATTTGTGCAGATTGGCCAAGACAGCGCACGACACCAATATGCGCAATGCGAAGACCACTGTGGCCAGCATCACCAGCCGGTTGCAACAGTTTGAATGCAAGCGAACCGCCCTGCCAGCCGACAATTTTCAACCCAACTAGGTGACGCTCGATGTTCAACGTTCAACGTTCGACGCTAAGCCGAAAATGAAAATGAAATGCAGAATGCAGAATGAAGAATGAAGAATTGCCGAAATCAAGTTCGAGCTGGGTTTTCACTGTGCGAGCGAATGTGTGTTCGTACACGACGATCGCGACTCTGACATTTTTTTTCTGTGTTTTTCTGTTTTTGTTTTTTACCTGAAGTTAGCAATGCACTCTTTCTGGGTTAAAGTTGGTTAGTTGGTTTGCCATAGGCTGCAATTACTGGCGTATTTAACCACACGCGATCATGCATATACCACAAAGTTGTAATTTTATTGCACTGCACACGCCACACGTTTGATTTCAATTCGGTTAAACAAATGATGAAAAGTGGAAAACTATTAAATGGCTCACTTACTAAAATGGGACACCACGCACAATAGCAGCGACGGTTTGCGTACGTTTGTTCTCCCACCGTTACACTTTTGCAAATCAAGGCCCGATATGGTACACTGGCTCGAACCGGAGCTTACGATGTGCATACGATCTGCACGTTCAGCTATCACAACGGTTAACTAACGAATGCTTTGGCTGTCCTAAGTTCTCGCGCAGTCCAATTCGGAATATGATCGCCACACACAAAGAGCCGCTCAGATCGGAACCAGTTGGCTGGCATACTCCAAATTCGAATACAAAAGCGAATGTGCACGCAGCAGAGTGTAGCGTTCGTGTGTTGCTGTCGCAGATAAAGCCAAAAAAGCGCAAATGGCCAAGAGAAAGGCTGAACACGGTGAGATTGTAGGTATTTGTTCGTTCCGATTGGGACGGCGAGTTTGTGGCTTCACTCTTTCGTCTCTTTGGAGAGATAAGGAGAGAGATAATTTGGAAAATGTGAGAGCGTACGCGCACATTAACTGAGAAGTTATAATTCTGGTTTGTTTGCAAACATTTATCTTCACACATTTTCACTGGTGCGTGTGAGTGTGTATAATTTTTCTTACTCTTGCTAACTGTAAAATATCAAAGTTTGTCCATTTTAACTCGTGACTTTGATCGCAAGCGACTGCACTAAGTTGCTAACTAGTCTATTGACGTTTTTATTTACAGTGTACATTTAATAGTTATATTACATATATCAATATGTTTCCTATTTTTTCAACTTTATTGTGTATCTATTTAATTTTAAACCAAATCTGACTCTTAGATATGCTTTTAAATTTTAACCTATTTTTAAAGCGGTATTCATGAATGTTATGGAGCCACAAATATTTATATAAGTTAATACCAGGATTACGGTTTTCTTGTCCACTCAGTTGAATTGAAGTTTAAACAATTCAACTTAAGGTCAACAAAACTCTTTTTTTGGTTTACGAACTTGGTGTTGTCAACCTAGAAATTGAAAATTCAGATAACATAGAACAGCTGAAAATTTTTAAATGAAAAATCAAAACAATTGAATTCAGTTATTGCTCACGAAAAGGTGAATAATTTTAAAAATGGACATTTGTTTGTGATGTGCTGCACATACGAAAAAGCTTTTGGGATCCCTTAATTCCATTGGAACTTCTTAACACCACGTAACCCAAAGTATCATTGAAAATTTACCACTATTACCCTTATTTTATTTTTACTGCTTCCAACTTGTAGCTTTCCTCTTTCAGTTTTGGAGTTTTTCTTCATGAGCTCAACAAAGTTTTTCACCTTTCTATGTATTTGTACAAAATAATTGATTAAAATAGTTTATATATATATGTATGGTATATAAAATAGTTTTTACGCCATTTCCCATTCTTTTTTTCTCATTTTCCTAAATAAAGGTATGACGAATTTTAGATTTAAGAAAACTATTGTTTTCGTTATAAAAACTCATATATATTGACCTTCAAGCATTTTAATGTTCAGTAGATTTCCACCAACTATAATACATGGATTATGGCTTCTAATTCGGAATTGAAACATAATTTTTTTCTGTGGCGAAGTACACTTCTCAATAAAACTCCTTTAACATTTTGCTCCTGAGAGAAAGCTCAGCAAGAGATATGTTAAGAGTTGTGCACTTTTTGTCTCTTCGTTAGTATTATTTAATTTGCTGCACACTGTCCGGAAGTTATATTTGTAGATAAAATCAGAAAACAATTATATCCAGCTCGTATCTCCATCTATATAATGCATCATTAAAACCTCGAAAAATGTGTTTATACGAGTAATATTGGCCTATAACTATATTTGTGCGGTTTGCCAAGAGATGGCGTAACTTGATTATTATTCCATTGTAACAATATTCCGAACACAGGGAATCTACTGTCCTTATGTGACTTTTTCAGTAGTTTTCATTTATTAGACAGCAACAACAATAATTTTTTTTCACCCAAATATGTCGAGCAGGCTCTAGCTCAACATGCCAAGAGTGGCCTGCAGGATTTAAAAGTAGTGATTTTGGCTTGGAAGAAGAAGAACGTCCGGGGCTGCCAAAAGCAAAGAGATGAGAAACTGGAAGCATTTCTAGATAAAGATTGCTGCCAAGTAAAATAATAGATCGCAGTTTTGCTTTTGGCTTTGTTTTTTTATGATGGAATCAACAAATTGCCAGGAAGATGGGAAAATCTTAAAGCTTCATATGGACAATACTTTTAATAATACTATTGAATATGTATTTCTATATCTAATAAACGTTAAAATTTTGAAAACAAAAATAGCACGAATATATGGTAGTTACAGGCCTAATATATGGCGCTCACTATTTTTATACACACACTTATTCACGCCTCAGAATCAATCACCAATCACTCATTTTTATACTTCATTCTCTAATCAAGCATGTGAAGAACATGTTCATACTTGCCCAACTTAAGAATACCACACACCCGCCTACTACCAATATTATAGTTACACTGACACTCGGCGCAGTCGAAAGAATTATAACCATTGTTCCAGGGTGCAATGGATCGCGAAGAGATCGGAATATACCAAACGTCAACGTAGAAATACAAAATTGACGGTCGAAATACCTAAAAGTACTTCAAAACAAAGCAAATCCCTTGGGAAAATATCTTCTAACTCATCGAAGTTGTAACACCTCCACAGAAAGTAATTTCATGTCTTTTAAAAAGTGATATGTATGTATATAAGTATACTTAAAAGATTTTCGAACTGTCCCATAATATTTCATTACAATATAAGTCAATAACTGAAACATAAAAAAAACCAACGCTGTCTAAAATTAAATTCAGAGATTACACACAAAACGAGTCTAGAATAAACGGATACTACCATATTTTTAAAACGTACGAAACCTGAGTAGCCCCAATATTTAAAAGAACTCACATTTTTGCGCTAATCAGTGAACGATCGTTAAACGTAAGCACAGATTTATTAAAACCAAAGCTATGGTAATTTATTGTTGTTTTAAATAAAAGGGAGGGTAATGTCAGTCTTCGACACATTTTAACTAGCACTTCATCGAAATATTCATGTGCTTCAGAGTTCATAAATTTTCTTTAGGTAATATAAATAGTTATTTGCATAATATAAATATTTGTATATGGTGATATATATCACCTATTTTGTGGTCTGTAACAAAACCAATACGCTAAATGTTAATGAAGAAATGGCAGCCGCAATAATGAATGTCTGCGTTGCTAGTTTCAACTGATTTGCTAACTAGTGTTTTGCTTTCATTGTCAATTTCACAATTGGCTGCCGCTTTGTTAGTCGATAGTAAGTGAACTAAAGAGTGAAATGTGAAAATAATTTATTTGTTGCTTTACGTTATCTGTTATTTATTTGTTATACGCTTGTTGACGTTCTTACTTTTAACTATTAGCGCTCACTCCAGCTAGTTGTGACCTACTTTGCGGTAAAGAAAAGCGCGGTTGTTAGCACGATTATTATTTAAAAAATATTCGTAGATTTATACATATTTAAGTAAAGTGTTATGAAGAGTGCGACCTACCTGACTTTTTTTTTAAATATAATATATAATCACTCTCGTTTGAACTAGATCAATTGTTAACGAAATATAGAAGATTAGGATTTAATCTGTATAAAGTATCAGAATGGTTCCACCAGACTAATGTAAGCTTTTATTACCTCCTGGAGAATAGTCAAGGCATATTTCTGTAAAGAAACCAAATCATGTTACCTACCGATTGTAATACTGTCATTTTTAGATTTAAAAGCGACTGCACTACAGTGGTCGTAAAAGTTTCGGATGTTAAAACATTTATTAATTGTATAAATAATGCGACTTTTCTTAATTTATTTGAGCATCGCTAATAATTTAACTCCGTCGGATCCCAAACATCTACTCTCAAAATTTCAGAACTCGTTAACTTTCGGTTTGTTTGACAGCTATATGCTTTAATAGTCCGACTTGAACAATTTCTTCGTATATTGTATTGTTACAAAATAATCCATGCCGAATTTTGTGAAGATAACTCATCAAATAAAAAAGTTTTCCATACAAGAACTTGATTTTGACCATTCAGTTTGCATGGCAGCAGTATATTATATTGTAGTAGTCCGATATCGGCGGTTGTGATAAATGCGCAGCTTCTTAGGGAGAAGAGGACGTGTGCAAAATCCTAAGATATCTTACTAGTTCGCGTATTTACAGACAGACGGTCGAACGAACATGGTTAGATCGACTCATTTTGTCACGCTGATCATTTGTATTCTATCTGGGTGTTACAAACTTCATGGCAAACTTAACCTACTCTGTTCAGGGTATAATAACTAAAAGGTGTTATATAAGAGCAACTACAATCCATTTAAAGTGTAAAGTTGATTGACGTTAAAACAAGATCAATGAATTGACATTAATTAGAAGAAGAATCGGGGCATTTTAATATTATTAATATTTTTTATTAAAAAAGTTTTAATTATTTAAAAACTTATGTAATTAATGCATATTTTTATTGAATTTTTTGGGGAGTAAAATTATAAATCAACCCTTACAAAATTTCGTTAATGTCACAAAATTTACTTAAAAAATTTAATTTTTGCGTCATGTTGTTGAAATAAGTTTCTAATGAACTGACGTCACGCTTGCTAACCCAAATCAGAGAATGTTGATGAATAGAGAAGGAGCAAATGTTAAATGAAATCTTTTTGAGTACTAATTTGTAGTTCCAGATGAGGGAACATCGAAAAATATAACTTCGAAAAAGAAAAATACACCACACAATATGCGAAATGCTATAAATAGACACAACGAATATTCCTATATGAAAAATCGTTGCGCATACCTATTTAGATTTATGTTTTCAATTTCTATGATATGACAAATTTATAATTATGAAAAGCCTTTTGAATTAAAAAGGAGGATTACTGGCAAAAACCCCAGAATTCATAATAAAATAACCTTTGATATGCGATTTTTCCAACTTTTGTATATGCGTTGCGTAAGCAATATACTTATCAAGCAAAAGATAACAATACAACAGTGGCTAAGCGGCCGCGTTTCCATATATATATAGCGGTGCGTAGGCGTGAAGGAGTTAAGCTCAATCGAATACGAGCATATACGTTCGAATCGTAAAATACATAAACTGACATTTTATTTAATTTTATTTTATTAATTGGAATCTAAGCTACCATAATTCAATTACTTTAATAGCATATTTAACTTCCTGAGATAATTAAAATATTTCAGGAAAATATGTTCATATGTTTGGGTTTATTGCATATTCCTTCATTTATGCGTATTTACACAAATGTGATAATCAAACATACATTAATGAGTACACGTGCGCTGATGCTTGCTTCTTCTT